TGGGAGGTTCCCCTCAGACACGACCTGCTGACTCAGGTTCGGGGCATGATTTGGGCATCCCCTGAGCAGAGTTGAAATGTGTTCCGGTCTCTTGGCAGAGATTACCGACACTATTCTTAATACTAGAGCTCCCTCCACGAGACGCTGTATGCCCTTAAGTGGACACAATCTGCTGGTTTCCCGTTTCATGCAGTTCATGTTATAATGTTAGAATTAAATAACAATAAAAAAAGAATACATATGCACTTATCTGTACATACTGTTTGTCTGGTATCAGTCACCGCCAGCCAGAATAGAACAACTATAATGAGTCTTCTAGCTTTCTATTGTACTATGATAAATCCAATGCAATGCAAGCAGAAGCATCATGCCAATTCAAATACAAAATAAAGGTGCTTCACGATGCCACAGAAGAACCTTTATGTCTAAATGGTTCCATAAAAAACCTTTAACATATGAAGAACCTTTCTGTTTCACAAAAGGTTATTTGTGGTGAAAGAAGGTTCTCCAGATTATAAAAAGGTAAGAAAGAGATGGTTCTTTAAAGAACCTTTGACTAAATGGTTCTTTGAGGAACCAAAAAGGGTTCTTCTATGGCATCTCTTGAAGAACCTTTTGAAGCACCTTTATTTTTAAGAGTGTATCTAAAACGTGATTTAGCCACAAAAAAAACAACATCAACAATAACGTTACCACTCTAATATGTCTTGCCATATCCGTGCGTGCAAAGGTTCTGCGCGATCCTCTTGTTCAATATTCTCTGGGTCTGAATCCGGCTCAAATTGATATGGCCATCCTTAACTAAACCGGAGTAGGCGGAACTCGCTGCTTTGGCAAGGGGCGGGGCAGTACTGAAACACCGTCTAAGCTGTTCGCCAATTACAACGCACTGGGACAGCTAACCAATCACACCACATTTCATTTTCGGAAGGCGGGCCTTCATCAAACCCGAAACTAATCGAGCCATTTGTGCCAGGATGGGGAGAAAGGTATTGTAATAATGTAAATTATGTAAAAAA